TGCTGAGAAGACTGTGTTTTCTGTGACTTGGAATATTTGGTGGAACATTCTTTTCTCAGTTTGTCCATTTGGCATTATAAAAACCTCCTGTACCTGGATGACCATTTCTTTCTCAGTATTTGGGAAATTTTCTTCTATTATTTTATTTAATATGTTTTCTGTGCCTTTAGTTTATACCTCTTCTCCTTTTTTTATGCCCATGATTCATAGATTTAGTGTTTTAATGGTGTCCCAGAGGCCTTATATGTTCCATTCATACCTTTTTTCATTTATTATTGTCTGAATATTCTAATTCATCTATCTTGTCTTCAAACTCTGAGATTATGTCTTCTACTTGATCCGACCAATTGGTAAGGCTTCCAACCAGGATTTTAAAATTAGATTTATTGAGGTTTTCATTTCCAGAATTTCAATTTGATTTTTCTCAGGATTTCTGTATCTTTACTGAATGCCTCTTTCATATCCTGCATTGTCTTCCTCATTTCATTTTGCTGTTTATTTGCATTCTTTTTGAATTCATTCAGGATTTTTTAAATAATAAAATAAATATTTTTATTATTTATTTATTTTTGTGGTGCTGGGATTTGAACTCGGGGCGTACACCTTGAAAACTCTACCAGCCTTATTTTTGTGATTTTTTTTTTCAAGATAGGATCTTGTGAACTATTTGCCCAGGCTGGTTTAGAACCGTGATATTCCTGATCTCTGTCTCCCGAGTAGCTAGGATTTCAGGCATGAGCCACTAGTGACCAGTTTATTAATAATTTATAATCATTCTTTTGAAATTTTTACCTATGATTTCATTCACTTCCCTATCATTAGAGTACATCATTGATGAGTTATTGACTTTTGGAAGAGTTATGTTGCCTTGATTTTTTTCATATTTCTTGTGTTTCTGCAGTGGGTTTTGAGCACCTGAGGCCAAGTCATTGGAGGTTTTAATCACCAATATTCTTGCAGTTAAAGTATTCTCAGTGTTCAGGCGGGACTGGATAGAGGCAGAATTGAGGTGCAATTTTTTAGTACTGAACTGAATGTGGCTCAGTAGCCAAACATTCATATTCACTTACTGGCGCAGGATACTGGGTACAATCCATAGCACCACTCAAAAAGAGAAAAACTAGATAAAGTCTCTCTCTCTCTGGTTGACAGTACTGAGGTTTGAACTCAGGACCTTATGCTTGCTTGCTAGGTAGGCACTTTCCCACTTGAGCCATGTGTACAGCCCTAAGCTAGAGTCTCTTATATTTCTAGTGTATAGGTTGATGCTGTCTGTGGGCTGAGGATGGGGCCCATCAAGGGTCTATTTGTCTGCTTCAGGGATGTATTCACTTTGGAAGCTTCCCTTCTTTGTGTATTGGGAGCAACTGCTAGCTGCAAGGAGCTTTGTAGCCAGTGAGCCAGGCAGATCCCACTCACTCCACTACTCCCTCCCCCCAGTTTGTGCTTCCAGGCGTAGCAAGTGTCTAAGCCTAGAAGTGTCTCCTGAATGAGTCAGAGAGGGGGTAAAGCAAACCAATCATTGAGATTAGCACTGGGGTGGGGGGAGAACTGAAGAAACCCAACACTCTGTCTGTTGGTCTCAGAGCTTTCAGACCCTACTCAGCAGTTAACTGTCCTGTTGTTGGCGGGAAGAGGTTGGGGAAATGGAGTGATCCATATGACCTGGGCTCAGAGCTCTCACTCCTGCCCAACAGCCAACCATATGCAACCAGGTGGCATCTCTCAGAGGCCAAAGCAACACACAGGCTATAGGCTTAGAGTTCTGTTTCTGCAGGGATCCTCAATGGATGGGTCTTGCTTCTCACCACAAAGAGCAGGGCTGCAACCAACCATGCCCTTCACTGCCTGACCTCCGTGCTTGCTTAAAATTCTCAATGATCCACATCACATTCTCTCCCTCTCTGTAACTACCTCTTATGGTTGTCTCCCACTTAGTCACTGTAGCAGGCTGTCTCTAGGGTCCATGAGCTGTGATTGTTCTTTGTTATCAGGTCCCCAGAGAAACTCAGTCTCAAACAATAGGACCCTCTCAAGATGGCACCTAGCTATAGTAGTTCAAGGTATGGGGAATGACAAAATGTCTTTCTTCTCCACTGCTAGCCTGCCACACTGGAAAAATCACTGTCACACCAAATCCCTGTACTGGATTTAAGGCTTGCTAGAACTGTGGGCTTATCTTGTAGCTAGGACTGCCAATTTGTTTTCACCACTGCTGCCTGGTTTACCTTATGGTGTGGTTTTGGCTCCCCCTCCTCCAAGTTGGGGCTGGAGCTGTGGACTGTTTCCTACTTTTCTCTGGATTGCTTTTTTGCTTCTCCATGCTTTTAAGCAGCCTTGTCACCTCTTTTGTAGTTTCCCCTGCTCTTCCTCTCTTTGTCTTTGGAATATAGTCTCTCTTTTGTCCCCCTCACCCCATCCCCATCCTCTTCTCATTAATGGAGTCACACAGAAATTTCTAATTCCGCCCCCCCCACACCATAGCACATTTTTAAAACCTTTTTTTTTTTTTTTTTTTGGTGCTGGGGATTGAACCCAGGGCCTGGTGCATGCTAAGAATGAGTTATACCATTGTTACTCCCCAGCCCTTAAAACATCTTTTATAGGACTTATTACATTAATTCCTGATGGCAGAATTTGTTTTTTCCTTCCTTATTGTCTTTATTAGCTTTAGTATAAGTCCTTGAATTTGGTAGGCATTAAAAATGTCAACACAGAAATATGATTATGGGACATTTTTTCTTTCATGTGATTTTTAAATTTTTTTTCAAAGTTTTCACAACTGGCTATTTTAAAAATAAAAAACCCAAAAATTTGCCAGGAGCCAAAGACTAATGCCTATAATCTGAGCTACTCAGGAGGCAGCGATCAGGAGGATCGAAGTTGGAAGCCAGCCTAGGCAAATAGTTTGTGAGACCTTATCTCAAAAAAACCCAACACAAAACAGAGGGAGTGATGGTGGAGTGGCTCCAGTGGTAGAGCACCTGAGCTCAAATCCATACTACCAAAAAAAAAAAAAGTCCAAAAATTTTCCTGTAACCACACAATAACTAAAAGATATATACATATACCCATATGAGACACACAAAAACCTCATGAGGTATATGCAATTACTATATGCCCATTTTTCACATGAGGAAATCAAGGCAAAAATTAAGTGACTTTTTTATGGTCAAACAGATAGTGAATAGTAAAGACAAGATCACATCCATGGTAGTAACCTGCCAAAGCCTCTGCATCTAATCATTATACTACATTACCTCTACTGTATCCTTTTATTTTTTTGTCCGTCTTCCATTAAGACTGGGAATTTAACAATGAATGGACCACGTTTTTTCACTAAGTGTATTAGTGCCTTACACTGTGTCAGAGCAGATGTTTAATTAATGTTTGCAGAATGAACATGATAATGAACCTGAATCTTATTAGAAGAGTACTACTTTCCTAGTGGATAAAGGCTGGAAAAAAAAGAATTAGAGAGAAGCATGTGTAGAGGATACAAAACTTGTACTGCTGTTCATGGTGGCCAGTGCCTGTGGTACCAACCACCTAGGAGGCTGAGGCAAGAGGATTACTTGAGCCCAGGAGTTCAATGCCACCCTGGGCAACACAGTGAGACATTGACTCTTAAAAAACAACAAAAATCTGTATTATGTTGGTTACTACAAGCTGCTTGTTTCAATTAAAGGCTACGGTAGGAGAGAGTATGCTAAGAGAGAAGACTGAGGAAGAAGTTGGACAGTGCTGAGGAGGCCTTCATGCCAAACTAAGGAATTTGAGTTGTGTACACTTACCTCTTGGCAGGCCTTATGGTATATAGATCTTGTCAAGTCTTAGCGGACCCACACTTATCTTTGACCTCCACCAATATCTTTATGAATTATATCACTCAGCCAACATCAATAAATTGACTAAAAATGGTGAATGTTTCTTCATGACTCTATATAGAAATGTAGGCAACTGTGAACACCAATTTTCACAGTGCTTTTGATTGGTCTATATTTATTACTGTGTTGGCTGCAATATCTCCCTCAACTATTGGGTCACCTGACTATTGAGTCTCCTTTATCACACCCATATGTAATCTATCCTCACTGCCACCACGTGACTGATCCTTCTAAGCTAAAATTTGTTCTCCAGCTTAATAACTTATAATAGCACACCCTCATTGCCTAGGTTAATGTTCAAATTCTTAAGTGTGGCCTAAGAGGCTCTTCATGATCCAGCTTTTCACAACCTTATCTCCCATCTCTTCCTCTACAGGTTCTACCTTGCACCCAAGCTGAACTGCTTGTAGCTATCAGGAAGTTTTATGCTGTTCACATCTCCATTCATGTATACATTGTTACTGCCTGGACTGTCCTTACACCCTTGCCCACTTTTTAAACTCTTACCTATCCTATGGAAAGTAGCAGCCACATTGCTGCTTCCTTGAAACCATATCTAACCTTGCCAGGCTATGGGTGGCTCATCCTTCTTTGCAGCCTCACTAGACTGTGCATATAACTTCTGTTGTGGCACCTGTCTCACTGTGTTGCATTGTTTAGCTACCTCTCTGACTCCCCTTTCTTTTGATTTTTTTCTGACTCCCCTTTCTAGACTGTGGCTAAGTAATAGTAATAGTCAACAATACAGTGTCTCCAGCACTATCACAATGCCTGGCACACAGCAAATTCTCAATTAAAAACAATTTTAAAGGAAGGAATAAAATGGAAACTCTTTTCTTTCTTTGTTTCTTTATTTCTCTACTTTTTTTTCTTTTTAATGGTACTGAGAACTAAACCTAGGGCCTCCCACATGCTAAGCAAGTGCTCTACCACTGAGCTATATCTTCAGCCCCTTTTGAAAACTTTATTTTGAGACAAGTCTCACTAAATATTCCAGGCTGGTTTCGAACTTGCAATCCTCTTGCTTCAGCCTCCGTAGTAGATAGAATTACAGGGTGTGCCACCACACTCAGAAAAAGCTGTTCTCTTTCTGTTAAAGGGCAGACCTTCACCATGTGGCTCTACCTGGCAGGCCTTGTGGTCCTGTACCACCTGCTGCGCTGGTACCGGGAGAGGCAGGTGGTGAGCCACCTGCAAGACAAGTACGTCTTCATCACGGGCTGTGACTCAGGCTTTGGGAACCTGCTGGCCAGACAGCTGGACATGAGAGGCATGAGGGTGCTGGCTGCATGTCTGACAGAAAAAGGGGCCGAGCAGCTGAGAAATCAGACATCAGGCAGACTGGAGACAGTTATACTGGATGTCACCAAGACAGAGAGCATCTCTGCAGCCACCCAGTGGGTGAAAGAGCACGTGGGAGACAGAGGTATGAAGAAATACTTTCTCCTTTCACTTACTTAGGCAGGAAAATGCAAGGGTTATTATACTGTGTATATATCAAAAGCAGAGTTAAGCCAGGCGCCGGTGGTTCACACCTGTAATCCCAGCTACTCAGGAGGCAGAGATCAGGAGGATCCCAGTTTGAAGCCAGCAAATAGTTTGGGAGACCCTGTCTCGAAAAAATCCACCACAAAAAAGGGCTAGTGGAGTGGTTAAAGGTGTAGGCCCTGAGTTCAAGCCCCAGTACTGCAAAAAAAAAAAAAAAAAAAAAAAAGCAGGGTTAAAAGGCTTGGCTTTGTCATTTGAAGGACTATCATGATCCTTTGCAGTGTTTTGTTTCCTTAAAAATGTTTACATGAAGACATGAGCTCCATACATTTGAGGCTATTATCTAATCTTACAAGCAAAATATTTATAAATACAATTTTTTTTGGCAGTACTGGAATTGAACTCAGGGCCTTACACTTACTAGGCTGGTGCTCTCCCATTTGAGCCACATGCAAGCATACACTCTGCCACTGAGTCACACCCGTAACCCCAGACTGAATTTCTTTATTCCACATTTTTCCCCACTGTTTTCGCTATTGAAAATAATATGCACTATTTCCTTTTCTTTAGTGGTTCACCTAGAAATTTTAACTGTTTACTTACTTACCAAGTAAGTAATCATTTTTACCCTTCTGAAGAATCCAGGCCCTTGGCATACTTGATTTCCAATTACCCTTCCTAATATATCTGCCATTGCTGTTGTGTATTTTGGTTCTGTCTTTGACTATAGTATATGACATTTTGTTTTGTTTTATGTTGTCTTTTCAGGCCTCAGGGCTTTGCACTTGCTAGGCAGGCGCTCTACCACTTGAGCCACACCTCCAGTCTCTATGTCATGTCTCTTTAGGTTTAAATTTTATCTGCTACTTTCTTTTTTTTTTTTAAATGATGTCTAGACCATGCAGAAGAGATGAAATATAATTACTTCATCGTAATTTACAACGGCCAAATTGCTACTTTCTTTAAACATTATTTCTTCTTAAATCTTTCATGTAAAATTACTTTTTTCTTTTTTTTTTTAATTTAAATTATATTATTATTGTACTGGGGGTACATTGTGACATTTACAAAAGTTCTTACAATATATCATAGTTGAATTCACCCCCTCCATCATTCTCCTTTATCCCCCCTCCCCCTATTTCTGGATACTTTTTTTTCCTGACTGAATACGTTCCTTAGAATTTAGAATCTAGAAGGTGTTGGGGCAAATTTTCTTTTTCTTTTGTATTTCTTAAAATGTCTTCATTTTGCTCTTATTCTTGAAAGATATTTTTGTTAGATATGCAGTTTTAAGTTTATAATTATTTTTTTCAGAATACTGAAGATTCCATTCCGTTGTTATCTGTTTTTGTTAAGTCAGTTGTCAGACTATTTTTCCTTTGAAAATAATTTTTTCTTTTCTTCTTTTTTTTTGGCAGCACTGGGGTTTGAACTCAGGGCCTTGCACTTGCTGCTTAAGTCCCTCCATCAGCCCTTTTTTTGTGATTTTTTTCCAAGATAGGGTCTTGAGAACTGATTGACGGGGGTTGATTTTGAACCACAGTTCTCCTCATCTCTGTCCCCTAAGTAGCTAGGATTACAGGTGTTAGTTGCTGACTCCTGTCTGAAAAAATCTTTTCTTTTCATCTACTTAAGGATGTTCTCTTTCTTTGATCTTTAAGTTTTATTTTGGTATCCCCACATGTGGATTTCTTTATTTATTCTGATTGGGATTCTTTTTTTTTTTTCTGTCTTCTTGAATCTTTGGATAATTGTTTTTCATCAGCTCTAGAAAATTCTCAGAGATTAGTTCCTTGAATATTGACTTGATTCCATGTTGTTTCTCTTTTCTTTCTGGATCTGATTAATTAGATGTTTTTACTTTGTCCTTGCCTCCTTTTCCTTTCACATCTTTATCTCTTTTTTCTTTGTGTTATATGCTGCATATTTTCCTTTTTCTATCTCCAGTTGACTACTATCTCTTTTCTGCGCTATCTGCTATTCCGTCTGCCCACCAAATTTTAAAACTTCAGTTGTTGTACCTTTTATTTCCAGAGGTGTACCTTTTTTTTTTTTTTTGGCAGTACCAGGGATCGAACTCAGGGCCTTGTGCACACTCAACCACTGAGATACATCCCCATTCCCTCTACTTAGTCCTTATGCAAATCTGCTTGATCAATTTTACAGTATTTTGTCTTTATTAATATTTTGAATCCCTTCTCTTACAATTATATTTAGCATACTGCTTTTAATCTAATATTTCTTGTAATTCTAGTATAGAAAGTCTTTGTGAGTGCTGCCAATTACCAATTACTTCTGCTGGTTCTTACACAGGTTTTTTTTTTTTTTGTGGGACTGGGATTTGAACTCAGGGCTTTTCACTTGCAAGCAGGCACTCTACCTCTTGAGCCACACCTCCAGTCCATTTTGCTCTGTTTATTTTGGAGATGGGTTCTCTCCAACTTTTTGCTCAGGCTGGTCTTGAACCAAGATCCCCCAGATCTCTGCCTCCCAGGTAGCTAGGATTACTGGTGCTCTGCTGGTTTGTTTTTTTTTGTGTTTATATTTTCATGACAACAAGGTGCTACTTTTCCTAGTAGCTCTCTGATGGTTTCTTGAGACCTAAGATAGATTCCTCCAAAGAGTATCTGTGTTTGTTTGTCAGATGCCTGAGAGCATTCAGACCCCATGGACATCTTAAAATAATTCTCGGCTGATTATTTCCCCATTTCTCCAACCTCAAAGTTAAAGCCAAATAATTTAACTTCTGATCTTTTTGAGGACTTAACTAGCTTAAAGTGATAGAAGAGCCCCTTAGGATCATAGTTTAATTAAGAGAGTGTCTTTTATTAGACTCTTTACATTTGGTGAGCCCCAAACTTCTCTTCTTTTGTTTGTTAATTTGTTTGAGGCTACATATACTGAAGTTCAAATTCACAATGGTTGGCAGATTCCCTCAAATAAAAAAAAAATAGCAATTCAGCTACATGGGAGGCAGGGATAGGAGGATCAACGTTCAAGGTCAGCTCTGCAAAAAAGTTGGTGAGACACTATCTCAGAAAACAAAACAGACGTGGTGGTTCATGCCTGTAATCCCAGTTAGGTGGTGGTGGTGTGGTGAAGGTAGGAGGATGTCAGTCTGAGTCCAGCCCCAGACAAAAGTGCCAGACCCTATCAGAAAAATAAAATAAACCAAAATGAACTGGGTGCCAGTGGCTCACACCTATAATCCTAACTATTCAGGAGGCAGAGATCAGGAGGATCATGGTTCAAAGGCAGCCTAGGCAAATAGTTCTCCAGACCCTATCTCGAAAACACCCATCACAGAAAAGGGCTGGTAGAGTGGCTCAATTTGTAGGCCCTGAGTTCAAACCCCAGTACCACAATAAATAAATAAATAAATAAATAAATAAAGCAAAAAGGGCTGGGGGTGAGGCTCAAGTGCCTAGCAAGCACAAGGTCCTGAGTTCAAATCCCAGTACTGCCAAAAAATAGAAAACAAAGCAACAACTGCACACACACAAAAAGTTAGCAATCAACTAGTTTTTGTCCTTTTTTTTTTTTAACTTCGGGTTAACTGATAGATACATTTAAAAGCATTAAAAATATTTTTTCTGGGGGGGGAAGAAAAAAATATATATTTTCTAGCATGATTGTTTGTTTTTAGCAGGAAAATAAGTCAAAGTAAACAGTTGTCCTGAGTTGAGTTTTGTTGTTTTAGGACTCTGGGGCTTGGTCAACAATGCAGGCATTTACCTCTCCTGTGGCTACCTCGAGTGGCAGAAGATGGAGGACTGTGTGAGCATCGTCAACGTGAATCTCATTGGTTTGATCCAGATGACCTTGAGCATGCTCCCCTTGGTGAGGAGCGCAAGGGGGAGGGTTGTCAATGTCTCTAGTGTTCTGGGAAGACTTGCTTGCTTCGGAGGATTCTATGCTGTCTCCAAGTATGGAGTAGAAGCCTTTTCGGATACACTGAGGTAATTCTCTCTCACTGTCTTTTTTTTTTTTTTTTTATGAGACTGGGGTTTGAACTCAGGGCTTTGCACTTGCAAAGCAAGCACTCTACTGCTTGAGCCACCCCCCCCAGTCCATTTTTTTTCTGGTTATTGTGGAGATAGGGGTCTTACGAACTATTTTGGCAGGTTGGCCTCAAACCTTGATCTTCCCAATATCAGCCTCCCAAGTAGCTAAGATTACAGTGAGCCAGAGTTACCCGACTGAGGCGATTCTCCTAAGGTAAAATCAAAACAACTAATGACCATTATGTCTTAGGCGTGTTGCTACTTGCTTTTGCCTTCCTTATCTTATTCCATCACTCCCCAAATCTTGATAGGTAGATATTATTACTAGTTCATGGAAACTGAGGTTTAAATTTAAGTACCTTTTCCAAAGTTCACCTGCCACAGTCAAGAATTGTCAGAACTGTGTTTTGACATGAGGTTTTTTTTATCTCCTGTCACCATATCACACTTGAATTCGCAAGATTTATCTTTGATAAAAAAAAAAAAAAGATTTTTCTTGGATAAAATTTCATTTCTGAGGAGAATCTGACTTTCTTTTTTTCCTGAAAGAGGACTTGTCCCTGTTTCTTGACAGTGACTCTCTTTCTAACTGGTTCCAGCCCTGCCTTTGATGGGGCCTGGCTTTTGTTCATGTGCTATTTCAGCTTCTGTCCCTACTATCAGTGGATTCCTTCTCTTCAGAGGTCCCTTATATTTTAATTTCTGAGAGAGAATCCTATAGACTGGATTAATTTTTTTTTCCCTATGGTGCTAGGAATTGAACCCAAGACCTTACACATGCTAGGCAAGCGCTCTACCACTGAGCCACAAGGTGATACCACATTATGTGACATTTTGGTGTACTTATTATGTATCAGGCATTATTGTAAGTACTTTGCATCTATTAAGTCACTTACCTTTCTCTCTCTCTCTCTCTCTTTCTTTCTCCTTTCTCTCCCTTCCTCCCTTCCTTCCTCCCTTGCTAGGCAAACACTCTATCACCGAACTATACCTCCAACCCCTAATCATTTAATTATTATGACAACTCAGTGAGAGAAGGTGTTACTTTATTTATTTATTTTTTTTTTTTCTTTTCTTTTTTTTTTTTCATTTTCTTTTATTATTCATATGTTGCATACAAGGCTTGGTTATTTCTCCCCCCTGCCCCCACCCCCTCCCTTACACCCATCCACCCCTCCCTCCCGTCCCCCTCAATACCCAGCAGAAACATTTGCCCTTATCTCTAATTTTGTTGTGAGAGAGTATAAGCAATAATAGGAAGGAACAAGGGGTTTTGCTGGTTGAGATAAGGATAGCTATACAGGGCATTGACTCACATTGATTTCCTGTGCGTGGGTGTTACCTTCTAGGTTAATTCTTTTTAATCTAACCTTTTCTCTAGTTCCTGTCCCCTTTTCCTATTGGCCTCAGTTTGCTTTTAAGGTATCTGCTTTAGTTTCTCTGCATTAAGGGCAACAAATGCTAGCTAGTTTTTTTAGGTGTCTTACCTATCCTCACCCTCCCTTGTGTGTCTCCGCTTTTATGTGCTCAAAGTCCAATCCCCTTGTTGTGTTTGCCCTGATCTAATGTCCACATATGAGGGAGAACATACGATTTTTGGTGTCTTTTGAGCCAGGCTAACCTCACTCAGAATGATGTCTCCAATTCCATCCATTTACCAGCGAATGATAACATTCGTTCTTCTTCATGGCTGCATAAAATTCCATTGTGTATAGATACCACATTTTCTTAATCATTTGGTCGGTGGTGGGCATCTTGGCTGTTTCCATAACTTGGCTATGTGAATAGTCCGCATAAACATGGATGTGCAGGTGCCTCTGGAGTAACAGTCTTTTTGGGTATATCCCCAAGAGTGTATTGCTGGATCAATGGTAGATCGATGTCCAGCTTTTTAAGTAGCCTCCAAATTTTTTCCAGAGTGGTTGTACTAGTTATATTCCCACAGTGTAAGAGGGTTTCCTTTTTCCCCCGCTCCTCGCCAACACCTGTTGTTGGTGGTGTTGCTGATGATGGCTATTCTACAGGGGTGAGGTGGAATCTTAGTGTGGTTTTAATTTGCATTTAGAAGGTATTACTTTAATCCATAGTATACATCTGAGAAACTGAGGCGGAGAGATTTAGTAACTTAGCTATGTCATATATAACAGACAGAGCCACTGTCCAGCCCTAAGAGGGGCTCTCTTCCAATTAAGTAGCCTGCCCTGGTCCAATCAGTAGGCATGAGGGTTTAATCACTGGGTACAACATATTCTCTGTAGGAGGGGTTGACCTTGGGCAGTTTTACTTGGAAATAAGTTCTGAATATTACAGGTACTGTATATTAGAGATTAGCTTCCTATGGCTACTGTAATAAACTATCACAGTAACGTCTGGTATATGGTGTCCTAACATATTTATTTCTTCACAGTTCTGGAGGTCTGAAGATGAAATCAGTATCACTAGACCAAAATTAAGATTTTTAACAGGATCACATTCCTTTGGAGGGCTGTAGGGAAGAATCTGTGACTTGCCTCTTCCAGTTTGTCTGCTAGCATTCTTAACATTCTTTGGCTTGTGGCTATATCACTCCAGTTTCTGACTCCATGGTCATATTGCTGCTTTCTCTTTTGCAGTAGCCAAATGTGCCTCTCTCTCTCTCTCTCTTTTTTTCTTTTTTTGTGGTATTGGGCTTGAACTCAGGGCCTACACCTTGAGCCACTCCACCAGCCCTTTTTTGTTGGGTTTTTTTCAAATAGGGTCTTGGGAACTATTTCCCCAGGCTGGCTTTGAACCATGATCTACCTTATCTCTGCCTCCTGAGTAGCTAGGATTGCAGGTGGAGCCCCTACTTCTCTTATGAGGATAGCTGTGATTGCATTTAGGATCCACTGAGATGATTCAGATAATCTTCTTTGGATCTCAAGATCTTAATCACATCTGAAAAGTCTTTGCACAAAGGTAGTATTTACTGGTTCTAGGAATTAGAACCTGATATCTTTGGGGACTCTTATTTAGTCTAGCATATACCATGATTGTTATTTGTCTATTTCATTGTGCATATTATATTATATGCCTAGGAGGGAAACAAAATAGCCAAGGAAATTTACAAGAGTTGTTTTCCATGGGCGACCTGGCTTGCCTATCGATTTCCATCTACCACACAGGGCTGCTTCCCACTGAGTTGCCACTACCTAGGACTGGTCTCTTGGGCTCTTTGACTCATTTTGTACCAAGAGAAAAATTTATCTTTTCAGAATTCAAATGACTATAAATAGTCATTTGAATTAAATAGTCATTTGAATTAAAATTCCTTTAGAAAATTCAAGTTCACCTTAGTTGTGCTAAGCATGTGAAGGGAAAGGAAGTTTTGGCCTACATTTGGATTGTTCGGGAAGGGGCCCTGTGGATGGGGACTCCAGCAAGTGAGGTGGAGCCCCAGCCACTTACAGACTTGGAACAGATAGATATAGGGGAGCGGGTTTGGAAGGGAAACCCCACTGGGGGGGAAAATTCTCCTGAATGGAGAAGCTATAGGAGATAAGTAAGTGGTAATTAGGTAGATAAGTTGCTCAGCTCTGGACCCCCTGGTAAAGTGGTGGCTTGTCATTTCCTTGAGGCTAGATGTGGTCCTTCTAGTGGGGTGTCAGTAAGCTGCCAGCAAGAATGGGGATCCAATCCTAACATGGCTTCTTTTTGTTCACCCTGACAGTGGGAACTCCAAGGAGAAGTGAAATTTAGAGAAGAAGGGTCACCTCTGGCTTGCCTGGCCCCTGACTGTTCCCCAGTACACATGAGCCCTTGGGGACTCTTTCTCCAAAGCTTACACAGAAGGTTTTAGGTGTAAGTTTGATAATGACAGCTTTTCTTGTGGTTCTTAAACTCTAACATGCCTCAGAGTTACCAGGAGGGCCTGTAAAAAACAGATAGTTGGGCCTCATCTCCAGACTTTCAGATTTAGTAAGTTTAACAAGGGCCTAATAAGTTGCATTTCTAACAAATGCCAAGGTGTTGATGTTCTCGGCCCAGGGTCTACACTGTGAGAACCACTTTTCGTGAACCATTATTTCTCATGGACGTCAGCTTGGGCTTTATCTTCTCCAGCAAGGCAGCCTAAAATTTAGGGACACCCATCACCCCTATCCCTAGAGCACAGAGAGTCTACCTGTGCATGGTGCATGGTGCCATCTTACTTCACTAGGCAGCACTTAGTACAGAACCTAGCACAGAGTCAGTCTCTGATGAGTTTTTTGGAACTGTTTTTTAAACTAACCTAAATAACTAACTGAAATGTCTTCTCCTCACTGAAGTTGGACTCTCTTGGAAAATCTGCATCTCCTCTTCTTCTTTTCCTCCTCCTCTCCCTTATCCTCCTTATCCTCTTCCTCCTCCTCTTCCTTGTTCTTCCTCTTCATGCTGAGTGTTGAACCCAGTTACACCTGGCCCTTAAAATTCTTTTGAGTTGTATTGCAGCTCTGTGCTTACTTATTGGACTTTTCCACTGTGAGTTTTTTGAGAGAGAAACTGAGTCTCAATCTGCTGAGACTGTGCACTTAAGACATTTAACACAGTCCCTGTCCTAATAAATGTTAATTTTCTTTATTATTTGTTTTCCTCACACCTCCAGTGTCTAGCGTACTGTAGATACTTAATAACTCTTTGTTAAAAGAGTGGATGTAGCAATATTATGGATATCTTTGGAGTGAAGTATTTTCCGTGGACATGTTTTATAGCTGTTTTAAAGAAGAAGGGATAATGAATCCAGAGGTTGGAATGAAATACAGAAACCTAATCCTGAAACCTGGGGGATCTCTGGACGGCATGGACATGCTCCAGAATTTCTTGAAACGCGAGCCAAACCAAAAAGCGTTCCTAATGAGTCGAGGCCTGTACGCTCCGTAAACTGGGGATCTCTGGCTGTGGTCCACGTCTGGAGGAGGAGTCCACCGCACCAGGCGGGACCCGCCTGGAAACCGAAGCGAACTTTGCAAATGAAAACTTAGATTTCTATTGACTTGCTTTTGCTTTTTAATTTAAAAATTATACAGATGTAAATGGAATTATAAATACTGTGACCTAAGAGAAGATCCACTAGAAGATAATTGTACTATAAAATTTCATAAAAATGAATTTGATTTCTTTTGAAAAAAATAAAAATAAAAAAATAAAAGAGTGGATGTAGCTGGGTGCCGGTGACTCAGCCTGTAATCCTAGCTACTCAGGAGGCAGAGATCAGGAGGATCACGGTTTGAAGCCAGCCAGGACAAATAGTTCAGGAGACCCTATCTCAAAAAAACCCTTCACAAAAAGGGCTGGTGGAGTGGCTCAAAGTGTAGGCCCTGAGTTCAAACCTCACTACTGCAAAAATAAATAAATAAATAAAAGGGGTGAATGTAGATGAATGGTTATGGTGATTGGCGTGATTATGTCCAAATTATTCAATTTAGGGATGTTAAATTTTTTTCCTATTTCTTTATTCTTTAAAATATTCATTAAAGTTTTTTTTTTTTATATTCTTTGTTTTGTGTTTTCTTCCATGAGAGCATTGAAATAGTGATATCTTTCCATCAAAGGACTCAACTTGAAGGGTTTTATTTCAGGCGTGAGATTGGAGATTTTGGGGTGAAAGTCAGCATAATTACACCTGGTGCCTTCAGAACTGGAGAAACAAATTTGAAGTTGTCCATAGAGAAAATGAAGCAAGACTGGGAAGAAACCCCTGCACATATCAAGGCGGCGTATGGACAACGGTTATTTGATACCTGTAAGCTTTTTTTCTTTTCTTCTTGTGTAAGAAAAGGAAAGAGGATTGGAGAATGACTGCCAGCTCCTCCAAGCACAAAGCTTCCGGACCAGTTTTCACATGCTTAAAGACATGGGACTTCTGGGTCTTGAGAGAACGACACCCCCCTTGATAGTTTGGCAGGGCTGTTGTAAGATGTCTGCCTGACTTAAGTGCAAAAGACCTGACCACAAACTCTGTTTGTCAATGTGACAGGAGGGACGGTGTAGTCAGGGAGAGGTAAGTTGCTGAGGACCAGGTTTACAGGGCTCTACTGGCCATGGGTGGGGACTAGGCCTGGGCAGGTACAGGCCACAGTAGCCACTTGGAGGTGAGTCATCCAGTTTCTTGTAAGAACTATCATTTTGGAAAGCACAGGTCTGGATCATCCTAGTTGTTATAGAAATTAAATGGGGTTAGACTGCTGTGATTAGCAACGAGATCTTAAAATCACAATATAAGGACTAAGTTTGCTGACCTTGTTACCCTTCTTTTAAACAGTTTGCAGCACTGCCAAAGAAAGACTGGCAAATTGTTCCACAGACCTGAACCTGGTCACTGACTGCATGGAACATGCTGTGACTTCGGTGCACCCACGTACTCGGTACATAGCTGGCTGGGATGCTCACCTCTTCTTCATCCCTCTCTCTTATCTACCTACAGCACTGGCAGACTACATATTGCATTTATATAGCCCCAGACCAGCCCACGTGGTCTAAAGAAAACTGGTTTAATGGCTCTCAGAATGAAGAACTCAAAAAAATTGTAGCTCTACCACTTGAGCCATACTCCCATCCCTTGATGTCATTTCTTTGTGCATGTAAATAATTCTGTGCTGTGATAATCTCTTTAATTTAATTTAATTTTTGGTGGGACTGGGGTTTGAACTCAGGGCTTTGCACCTACAGAGTAGGTGCTCTACCATTTGAGCCATACCTCCAGTCCGTTTTGCTCTGCATGATTTTGGAGATGGGGTTTCATGAACTATTTCATGAACTATTTGTCCTCAAACCATGATCCTTCCAATTTCAGCCTCCCAAATAGTTAGGATTACAGACATGAGCCACTGTTGCCTGGCTTGTGATAAACTCTTGTTCAGGGATTACTGAGAATCTACCACAAGAACCACTTTGCCAGCCCACTGCTATATGGTATAAACAAAACTTTGATCTTGCTGTTAATCTGTTAATTAAATCTCTAAGTAATTAAATTCTTATCTGTATGAAAAGCTGTGTCTAAGAGTTTTTTTTTTTTTTTGATATGGATATTGCTATTCTACACAGGCTGGTCTTGAACTCTTTATTTATTTATTATTTATTTTTTAGGCTTAAAAAGTTTTTTATTTTATCATTTTTAGTTTACTCACATATGTGTACATTGTTTGGGCCATCTCCCCCTTTCTGTGCCCCCCACCCCCCTCCCCAGACTAGAACTCTTGAGCTCAAGCGATTCTGCTGCCTCAGCCTCCTGAATAGCTGCGCATGTGCCGCCACGCCCAGTTTATCTGAGATAGATTATTAAGAAAAGGTATGTAGAAGCTTATAGAATATGAAACCTTTGCAAATATAAATTTGTGTATATACAGATATATGCATGCATGTACACAGATATGTACACATAAGAGAAATAATATCAATTGGTTTTTATATTAGGGATGGACCTATACTTTCTGTATTGCATTTTCATAATGTTTGAATTTCCTTTTTGCTTTTTCTTTTCTTTTTTGCAGTACTGGGGATTGAACTCGGGGTCTTGCACTTACTAAACAAGTACTTTAGCACTAGAGCCATATCCCCACTCCTTTTTCTTCTTACTTCTTTTTTCAGATAGGGTCTCATGTTTTGCCTGGGCTGGCCTCAGACCTCAATCTTCCTGTCTCTGACTCCTGAGTAACTGAAATTACAGCATGCACCACTATGCCCATCTGTAATATTTGAGTTTTCTATAACTTGTGTTATAGAAATTTATGATGGGAATATTTATATTTAAAATATTTCTGGCAGCCAGAAAACCAGGTCATTAATCTGTGTGATGGGCTCCTTGTTTTTAGGGAGCAGGGGAACAACACTTGGGGTAGATGATGGGGTGAGAATTGTGAAGGACACGACCCAAAGCCTCTGTAATACCTTAAGGGCCAGGTCAATGTTTGTGTCACCTATACAGCTTATTGTAAGAGCAACAAGCAAACAGCTCTCTACATTGTCATTTTTACTTCTGGTTGAAGAAAGCCAGCCTTAGAGCAGTCCCCTTTTTTTGTTTTCTTACTTCTTTTTGATGGTACTGAGGTTTGAACTCAGGCCTTACACTTGCCATGCAGGCACTCTACCACTTGAGCCACACTCCAGCTGATTTTTGCTTTTAGGTATTTTTCTGCTTGGGTTTTTTTTTTCTTTTTTTCTTCTGGTACTGGGGTTTGAACTCAGGACCTCACACTTGCTAGACAGGAACTCTTAACACTTGAGCCACTCTACCAGCCCCACTATTAGGTATTTTTCAGAGGGTCTCACATTTATGCCTAAGCTGGCCTGGCCGGTGATTCTCCTATCTGTGTTTCCCATGCAGCTGATGACAGATGCACACCATCATGCTCTGCTTGTTTTTTTTTTGGTGGGACTGGGGTTTGAACTCAGGGCTTTGCACTTGCAAAGCAGGCACTCTATCCCTTGAGCCATACCTCTAGTCCATTTGCTCTGATTAGTTTAGAGATGGGGTCTCTTGAACTATTTGTCCAAGGTGGCCTTGAACTGTAATCCTCCTGATCTCAGCCTCTAAGCAACAAAGATTACAGCTGTGAGTCACTGCATCCAGCTCCCCTTTTCTTTATATAAGCCTGATGAGTTGCTTCCCTTCTGGTTACAGCACAGAACATCAGATTGGATGGCTGTTCTAGCACTTATCACACTGTATGAATGCAGCCCAGGCTGGTCTTAGAACCTTCTGACTCATCCTCTTCACCTCATTGATGACTGGCTTGTTCTCACAGCTGGCATTAGTTTTTAAGTAGTGGGGTTTGAACCTGTGCTTGCTAGGCCATACTCTACCCCTTGAGACATCTCCCCAGCCCTTTTTGCTTTTGCTTTAGATTTTTCAGATAGGATCTTGTGCTTTTTGCCAGGGCCTGCCTTGGACCACCAACCTCCTGCCTATGCTTCCCCAATAGCTGGGATGACAGGCATGCACCACCATGCCTGCCTTGTCTGTTGAGATGATGTCTCCCTAAATGCTGACATTGAACTTCACCCTCCTGATCTCCGCCTCCAGAGTAACTGGGATTACAGAGGTGACCCACTACACCTGACCCTATTTTCCCTCTTATTTTTATTGTGAAATACAATGTGCATACAAAGAAATGCATAAAATTATGTGTAGAGTTTAAAAATTATGAAGTAAATACTTTGTAATACCCACTCTGGTGCATATTTGGACACTGCTACCCCAGCATACACATTCCTCATTTGACCATTTACCGGGAATCAATCCAGACGTCAACCAAAATCGTTCCCTTGGTTTTCTTTTTAACTTAACTACCTCTGACCGTTTCCCTAAATAATATGGTGTTTTGCTTATTTCAGTTCTCACTATTTTGCTTACTGGCCTTGTCTGCATTGTTGAACAGGGAATTAATTTGTTCATTTCCATTATTGTGTGTTCAAACACATAGGGCTTCTCTAGCAACTATGCAGCTATTTGTAGCATAATTATCTTTTGGTCAAGAACTTTCTCAGCAGAAGACGTTGAAATTTATTGATACTTGCTTTATAGACTTTTATCTGGTGAGTTTTTGTATAAAGCATTTATTTTTTAACATCAGCTTTGCCGCATAATTTTATAGTTTAGCCACTCTACCTATAAATGAAAACACTGGTAATTCTGTCATGAGTCCAGGTTCTAATCTGTTTGGCAGAAGATCATAGCCTATTTGGATGCAAACAACTGAGTCCAAGTAATAGTTCTCCTCCACAGATTTTTAATTTAATGAGAACATTGTTCTCACTGTGATTATTTGCTCTGTTGATCTTTGTACTTGTAATGATTACTGCCCAAATAAAAGAACTTTATCTTCAATAATTTTTTTTCTGAGATAGGGTCTCATTATGTAGTCCAGGCTGGCCTCCTATTTACCTTCCTGCATGCTGAATTTACAGTGCCATTCACATTGTTATGTTTATCACATTTGACAAAATTAATTTCCAAAAACTTTACTTAGATTTTAAGAGTTGGATGTAAAGATCAAAGCACTGTTGAAGTTAACTCATTTTCTACTTGGATCATGGTAATAGTGACATAAGCTAGTATGATTCAGTTGCTTGTGAAGTTATTCTACTAATAGATTTGACACAGCAATAGTTTTAACTTGATTTTCATATACACACAAGACCACTCTAAAGCAAACTGTCATTTATTCAAATGACAAGTCATTTTTTACACAATGAAATGTACATACATTGTCTGCCGCTGTGTTAAACATTTGTCTTGGGGTTTAGACTTCTTAAATAATGACTGACTTTTGAAGTAGATATAGATGCTTCACCCTTCATAGGGCCGTTCAGTGGTATCAGCACAGCCCACCTAGCTCAACAAATGTATGTGTATATGTAAATATTTACTGGGCAGGTGCTTTACCACTTGAGCCATGCAGCTAGCCCTGTTTTACTTTAGTTATTTTTTGGATTAAGTCTCACATTTTTGTCTGGGACCGCGATCCCTTTGGTTAGTATACAAGTACGCACCACCATGCCCAGATTTTTTTCTGTTCTTTTTTTTTTTGAGATTGGATCTTGCCCAGATCATGAACTTCTGGGCTCAAGTGATTCTGCTTCAGCCTCCAGAGTGTCTGATTACATATGTGTGCATCATGCCCAGCTGGTCAACAAATATTTTGTGGAAGTTACATTCATTATTAACTGCCTAAATGAATGAGGATTAATTATTTAAATTTCAAATGAAAAATGTACTTGCAAAGCCTAAAGTTCCCAAAGATTTATTGCAAAATAAAAAGTATCATCAAACAAAAAAATAGCTGGGTGCTGTGGGTCATGTCTGTAATCCCAGCTACTCAGGAGGTGGCAATCGAGAGGACTGTGGTTTGAGGTCAGCCCTGGGAAAAAAGAGGGTCACATCTCTACCAATAAGCTGGATATGGTGGCATGAACCTGTCATCCCACTACGCAGGAGGCATAATAGGAGGAATTTGGTCCAAGCCAGCCTGGGCAAAAACAAGGATCTATTTGAAAAATACTTAAAGCTAAAAGGGCTGGGGGTTATGCCTCAAGTGGTAGAATGCCTGCCTAGCAAGTGTGAGGCCCTGAGTTCAAACCCCAGTACTGACAAAAATCAAATAAAATGAAGACTTGTAGATTTGTACCATGCAAAACCACTGAGAGCAAGAACTTTCTGAATTCAGCCTAGTCTCTGCACATTTTCATGTACTGTTAAGCTATACTTCCTCATTGTCCCCACAGAAACGCTTAGCATAGACCGTGCACAACTGGCTGGTTTGGTCACCAAGTGACCAGTAGGAGCAGCAGTCCAGAATATTTTTCCCATGACCATTTGAGACCAGAAGGGTTTGGCTGTCCTTGTCTGCTCATATTCAAGCCTACTTTGTAATTGATTTTGTCACTAATCAATGACTGGGAAAAGAGATGCATTGGTGCCATCTTTCTTTTGGATTTAACTATCTGCTAAAGTGAAAACTTGCTTTAGTGCTACTAGACAA